CCTTGCCAAAGAAGTCAGGCTACCCATTCCTAGACTCGCTAGTGCCTTCGTTCCTCAACATCGACGTGGACGGCCGTGTCGTCCGGCTAGACACATTCTCCAAAACGATCGCGCCGGGCTGCCGACTCGGATGGGTCACATCCACGCCTGCTATTAGCGAACGCATTATGCGCGCCAGCGAGGCCAGCACCCAGCAGCCCTCGGGATTCGTCCAGGCCATCATTGCCGAAAACATCATAGGGCCACAGTCCGAGGCTACCGCCGCATTCACTTCGAGGTCACTGAAAGACCGGGCTACTTTCACCGGCTGGAAGACGGAAGGCTGGGTACGCTGGCTTTCGGGCTTGCGCGGCGCATACGAAAGGCGCATGAACGCAATGTGCAGTCTTCTCGAGGAGAACGCGTACCAATTGAAACAATCGACACCGGTGCGCGATGCCGACTCGGACTGGGGCGTTATCACGAAGACGAAGCTGTACGAATTCAAATGGCCGCGCGGCGGCATGTTTTTATGGGTTAGAATCCATTTAGAGAAGCACCCGCTGTTCGGGGCGATAGGGTCTCAGGGTAACGTGATCGACGGGCCGACGCTCTCCACCGGGCTTATGATGTTCCTCACGCACGCGCCGCACCTTGTCGTCGCAAGCCCCGGGATAATGTTCAGCGCTACCCCGGAAATCGCCGCCCAGCAGGGCTGGTCCTTCTTCCGCCTGTGCTTTGCCGCCGAGTCCGACGAAATGAACAGTGCCTGCTCGATACGCTTCGGACAGGGCGTGCAAAAGTTCTGGCGCATCAAGAAGATCGCGGAACTTGAGGCTCTCCTAGATGAAGCAGGCAGCTTAGAGACCGATGAGATTGAGGATTTGACGACGAGCATGGGCTGGGTAGGCTGTTAGATTTTGAATAGGTAACAACACATGGCGGGTATATGATTAAACTTGAATCCTAGACGGCCGGTTATCGCTATTTATGATATGTGGAGATGCCGCTACAACTCGAGATGAACATGTTTATGTTTTTTTTTGTAGTTACCCAAGTTTCGATGTTTTAGTTTACCTCGTCATCTGAGCCCAATATATGAACAAGTTGTGAAAACTTAGGTAGCGAGCTACACACTGGCCGTCAGTATTCTCATTTCTAGTAGCAGGCATGCAATCCCGCTAGTTCAGCTTGATTTAACTTGAAGGGAACAGTTTCGTTTGACCGTTATTCTAAAGGCAGACGACTAATACCTTAGCCGTTTTGTATAATCATTCATTTGGTTTATTAGGATTTTACAATTTTATTGAAAAGAGCAAGAAACCGTAGTAGTTTGGGTTGGTCTCTATTGCCCAATTGGTTGCAAAGGACAGGGTAAAGCTGTTGTGAAATATAACTCATTGGTAATGCCGTCTACGAATCAGACTGCCAACAACACAAGATTTCACAGGTTTTAAGCATAGGAAGCATAAAAAGATGATGAAAGTTTAGGGCGAAGAAATGTTCATAATGACAATTCCATTGATTCACGTGACCCTATGAACCCATTACGCCCATGACAATTGCAACCCTATGCTCTCCTATCCGATTTCATTTAGACAAGCTGCTCACCAAGCGAGTCTGACTTAATCTTCCTTCAGAACACCGAGGAAGGTCTCAGCGGTCTTGGGGGGCTTGCCAGCCTCCTTCTTCTGCTGACCGAGCTCCTTCTTGACGAATGTTGAGTGGTAAGGGTTGAAGCGCAGCATGACCTGCTTGTTGCGCAGAGGGTTCTTCTGGATGCCAGCACGCTTGGACAGCGCGGTGCCCTTGGGGGCGCGGAGGACGCTCTGGATTTCGGAGCTGTTGATCAGACGGCTGAGATCGGCCTGGGCAACGAGGTTGGAAGGTAGGAGGAAGTCCTTCTTGAGCTCCGAGGGTGTGGTGGTGGTGCCGTAGATGCTATCAAGAGCCTTGAAAGCAGCAGAGGTCCAGACGATGAACCGACCGAGGTGACCACCAGGGGCTAGCTGGAGAAGGTTGAGAGCGTAGACAGGGCAAGTCTCAACACCTGGCAAGTTGCGGGTGCCCTTGACAAGCTCAGTACCATCAACCTCGGGGTCGTAGATGACCAGAGGTCCACGTCGTTGGCGGTGACGGCGGCCTCGCATCTTACCCTTTCCAGCGCGTAGCTTCTTGGATTTCTTGGCCTTGATGACATCGGCAGAGGCGCCGACAGCAGATAGAATGGCGAAAGCGTTGGCGGTCTTAGCGGCGGCACCACTCTCGAAGGCGGCAGAGTCGACAACTAGGGGAACCTCGGGGACGCTAGAAATCTGGTGGCCACGGGCAAGGAGAAGAGGGGCAACGGCAGAGGCAGCCAGAGCAGAGGCAGTAGCGAATCGCCTTCGCATTGTTAGTTTCAAACGAATTCGGCAACGAAAGCAGTAGTAAACCTCGACTTACTTCTGACCCTGGTTGATCTTGATGTGCCACTTCCTCCAAATCTTGGTAGGGGCGAACATGCGACCGGAACGGCACATGTTACCGAAGGCAGCCTGACCGGCACGGTGAGTACCACCACCGGAGACACGAGGGATACGGGCAACGGCACGACCTGAGTGCCATTGTTAGTAAATACTTCTTATACCACCAGTCCAATCCACTGCGACCCAAATTGTGTTGCTGGCCATGGCAAATGCTCATCCAATGCCGCAAATTTCAATCTAGGAATATCGGGCGACTAACCAGTTCCCCATGACTCGGCAGAGGTCTGGTGACCGGCCTTCTCGCTTACGGCGTAAGGCTGGCGCTTGTTCTTTGCCATGCCAGTATGGACCTGCTGGACAATGTCGGGTCGGATGGGAGACGAGAAGACGGCGGGGATAGGATGGGTAGCCCCCGAGGGGGTACCATCTTTGCTGATGATGGTAACGGTCGGTCTCGAGGCCATCTTGAAGTCGCTGGGCTATGTCAGAAAAGACTAAGATTAGTACTAGAAACGAAGATCGCAGAGGTAGAAACGAGTGGGAGAAGCCCCAATTCTATGGTATGAGCGGCGTGCGTACCTCGACTTGTTGGTGGATGGGCTGGAGAAATTCGGTTGGTGATAATTCTCGAAGTCGAAAATTGACGGTTGAGGTCCCCAAATTAATTTTCTTTGTGGGAGTGGAGGGCTAATCGATTCGTTTGTACAATTGTGGCCAGCTGTCTAACACCTCTGCCGGTCCGTGCAGACTGTACTGCACCGCTGTATAGTGTACTTCGATACATGTACATCCTGTGTAATCATATCTTCTAGCGGAAGGATCTAACCCTTTTAGTTACGTCGTTGATACTGTCTCCCGCTCTTATCTACCTAGGTATGTACTTACCATGTAAGTAAGTAGGTACACAGGTAGACTACCTAATAGATTAGTATCTAGGAGGGAGGTACTGCCTACACTAGGTGGGTATCTTCCAACTTACTTTACATTTGACACACTCTATGAGGTCACTACGTTTTATTAGTTATATCACGACTTGAATTGTAATTAGCATATATCATAAGGATAAGGTCCACTCCATCCTCGGTACAGACATGCAATGTTCATAGGTTAATCTTCTGCGTTTGAAACTTAGATTCGGTGGCCTTCTCTCATTGTTATTAACAGTAGAGTAAGGGCAATAACAATGTTAGAGCCATCCCAAAACAAAGCGGATACAATATTGATTGAGCGTGTGAATTGAGATATTCACGGCCAGATTTAAATCAATGATTGATTATTGATTTTCTATGAAATACCCTTCGCCGCATACAAAGCGAAACACTGGATCTCGTCCTTGATAATGTTCTCTTGTGGCTATGAAGTGTATATGACAACCGTCACCGAGAGTACACTATCTCATACATTGTAGCTAAGTGAATCTTCGGCGTTGGCGCTGTGTACGCCGGATTTCGACTAGAAGCCATGGACCTTGATTTTCTTGGCATCAAGCTCCAAGCCATCGCTGGCGACTAGGAATTCCTCTACACATTGTTAGTCTGAAAATGGTCACTGGAAGTGTCTACAAAGGGATACGCACGCATGACCTTGCGCTGATCACCCTGTAGTTGAATGACTTCGCCCATGTTACTGTCCATTACGACAGTGCCATTGCAAGCGAACTTCTTCTTGATGACAGTGAGAATCTTCTTGCGATCGAATTTATTGGGCAAGCCCTGGACTGTGGTCAAGGTTTTGCGGCCATTGCGCTCTACATGATTGCATTGATTAACCACACCGCGTACAACAGAAGATGGGTTAACCATGATGAGGAGTACTAACGTTGGATCCGAATATGGACGTAGTCCTCTTGCTGACTCTTCACTTGGCTCGTGTCCTCGTCTGCTTCAGCATCATGAAAGGGATCTAGGCGTGCGCATTAGCGGGGCTGTTAGGGGTCATCCGCCTACTAGGGCCAAGGCTGAATACCGAAGGATTTAAGATTCTCGATGGACATCTATAACACTGGGTTTTTAAACCACTTGAAATGTGATGGTATTAGAGAGCAAGCCTGTATGTCTGTCTTTCTGTGCGGCGAGATATTTCTGATATTGAAGCGGGCTAGTTCTTCGCAAGATGTTGAGATATGATGGTTTGGTAGGTATAAAGTGATGGATGAGGATAGGGGGTGGGGTAAACCAGCATGAATCCGCGATAAGGAGACAGAAGGACCCCACCACAATACCCCCCGAAGTTTATCCAGACAGGTAGGTACATCAATGTATGTAGCCTTGCTTGTGCAAAAGCATCTACGCTTCCGTCAAAGCAAATAGTAGGGACCTTTGCACCAAAGCTTCTCTAGAATTATATTTATGCTTAATTACGAATATGTATAGAAATAACTTTAGCCTCTGTATCTCGACAACTCGAGGCGGGCTCTCGTCGGTACATGTGTCACATATAGTGTAACTAACTTCTCAGGACTGCGAGATCAGAAGATCCACACCTGCGGGTCCCACCCCTTTGCATCGACCATCGCACATCATAGGTCAAGATAAAATACCCACATTCCAATTATCCGAATTGGTGTAGTGGCTAACATTTGACGCTCTCAAAAGATTGCACGTTGAAAAATGTGTGATGTAGAACAGTACCGTCAAGCCCGGGGTTCGATTCCCCGATTCGGAGTTGTCATTGCGTTTCTTTTTCAATCCTTTTTTTTTTATACCTTCTTCTTTCTGTGAATGCCTACTCTACTTCACTACCATTTTCTAATTCTTTTCTTGCAACAAATCTGACAAACAGTGCCTCAATATATTTAGGTAGTCCGCACCATACTTTAAGTAGGTACATATAGATTATCTACATCTCCAACCAGAATCCTAATAATCAATGGTATATTATACCACATATATTATTACCAAAGCTGCGTGATCTACAATAATTTCAACATTCGACGGTGGACGTAATCACAAGCCATCCTATTAGCCAACAACACTTACCACGGGCGTCTCTACAATATGCACTAGCATCACACGCTCATCCCTAGCCCTCATACTAGTGAGAAGCCATTAATCCAGAGCAGCCAACAGGAATCATTCCTCCTCCATATGTAAATGGTATTTTGTCATCCGGCTGTGGTTGTGGCGGAATTTTGTGGTCATGCTGTCATATTATGTTGTGTGACACTACCAAGTACTTCACTTATTATCCGTGCGCATGCGAATATCAACAAAGTCGCCATATATCCTGACATGTGTTCGTACGACTCCTAGCCAAGCGGTCCAGTGGGTACACTACGGTAGGTCGACATCCTCGATGTCGCTCGATGCCCGTCTCGGTATGTTTAACATACGTTTCGAGTAATCTAAACCGACGCCTACCCCCTTTCTTCCCAGGGCGGCGTTGTCAACCACCTGACATACTTAGCAGGTCGCAATAATGCCAAATTGTTGTCAGCAACAACTCGCCTGTTGCATTCGAACGGTGGACAACGGCCTGGGCCAATACGGTGCAGGAAACATTAGTTCTTACTGCATATTGAAGTTGCAATTGTTGGGTCAATTGATAACAGCGTGGTCCGACAACGCCTTGAAGAGTGAGCAAGTCCGGATGATCCGAGCGACGTTAGATGCATATTGGGGCAGTTAACCTATACTACCTACCTTCTAAGGCACTACTAAGATGTAAGTCGGAAGTAAGTAATAAGTAGTAGTACACTAATTAGTCTAGTGTACCGATATTGATATCGATGTTGGCACCCACGGCTATACTTAGATACTTGGGATACTTGGGTAGTCTGTGTACCCGGTGGGTTGCAGCATGAGCTCCGCCAATAGTCTCCTGTAGCGTACCATCTGTGCAGCGTTCTCTTGGCTCAATGCGAAGCCACGATCTCCTCCCACCTCCTGTCAGGTACGATATCGCTTAATGCTCTTCTCGCGACTACATAGTAGCACAAAAATACCTTATTCAAGCGGTTCTCAAAACAATATACTGCTATATTTATACCAAAAGAAAATTGAGTTAATATAGGTTACGTACTATGAAATACAATGTACAGTGTGTCCTATTCACCGGTCTTTCTGGAATTACCATATTAGTGGGATTTTGCTGCCAATGCTCCTAATGTTGGCCTGACTTGTCTCATAGGCAGTCTAGTTGTGACCTGTCTCGGCAACTTAAATCTAGGGTTCTAGGCTTCGTACTACCGTAGCTACGATATTCCATGTAGTAGCAGTATAGGTTTCAAGCGACGCCAATCACATAGCAATAATACCTGCTATTTGAGAACTTACTACACTAGTAAAAAACCAAGTCTGAGAGCTGGGAATTTGTGATTTTACTGTAGAGTACGAACCTATAATGGCTTTCGTCTGGACGTGTGAATCACACTATTAGTAGTTTCCGTGAATGTGGCGGATGAAAAGGACCAAGCATTCAGCCGTGCTTATAGATGCCTGTCTCCAAGCGTTTATTGCAACGTCATGGCTGGGACTGTCTTGGATTTATATTCTATCAGTCGATTGACCGTAAACGAAGTAGTAAGCAAGTATATTATATGCTATGCAGATAACCAGTTCTATGGAACTATTCCAGATTTGAGGAAATGTCACTCTGGTTGCCTTAACTGCTGGAATGTGGGCGGCATACAACGAACGTAGTAGGTAGATGGGTTGAAAACTCTTCGAGCTGACAACGGTGACAGGGACAGGCAGGCGAGATCTAGCGCAGTCTAGCCAGGCGAACCGCTGACCAGGGTATATCCGAGACACCCCGGGGGGTTTCCGGAATTGCGGCTAGGTACCTGTTGGGACTTTCGAGATTGGTATCGGCAACAAGACCTTGAAAATACCCATACGTTGTGAAATGATACATTATTTTCGGAAACTATGTGATGCCCCCTACTTTACCGTTAATGATCCTTTCGCGGAATCCCTAGTCATCCAAGGGGTCTGATGGGGGCGTACGCTACACTGCCCTGTATGCATCGAGGCTAGAATGCGGAGAAGAACCATTGTTTATCACAACTGCCTAACTTGGAGGCTAAGTATTGTTGAGCTGAAGAATACTATTGTCTAAGAGACAATTTATTATCACCTGATTACCTCTCCGCCATCTCAGGTGCCGATTTTTTGCTTTGGTCAGACTGAACCCCATGGTGGAGGTCTGGCCACTTTCTGGGGTGCCTACGGCTGTACGGTATCTTGCCGGATACCTACACTAAACGAACATGGATACTTCCTTTTGAAATCATCGCGACGTCGTACCATACATCTACATGCCAAGCTAACGGTTTGCTGAAAGCATTAGACGATGACACGAATGAGCATCCTATTCGCTCGCAAGGGAGTTGAAGAAGCTGCATCTGCACTACACTGATCGTTGATCTTGTAAACTCGAAAGAGCATCTCGAAGAGCCTCGAGGAAGGCTGATGCCGATCGGGGCCACCCGTTTCGATAAGCAACCGGGTTTCGATGGAACATGGTTCGGGAAAAAGATCTTATTCAATTCGGTACACTAGGTCCCGTGGACCCTGGAGATCCCACGTGTGGAGCATCAGGTAGCATCGCATTCCCAAGTAGGTGGCCATCTTGTCTAATTTTCTCACCTTTGCTCCTTGATGCTGCATACACTACTACATGTACACCTACGGTGCAAGGAGCGGACAGCACGTATTGTCTCGGTCTCCATCTCACGTCTGTTGGCTTGCATTAGTCGTTCGTTCCACCTGTGCGGCTGGACGTTCGGGGAGCAGGATCGTCCAATCCTATCGCATCTATTAGCCACTTTTCTCAGTTCTCGTATTCTATCTCCGCTACTTCGGTACCTGAGCAGGGGTTGACAGGGCCTAACAGCGATCATGGCGGTTAGTGTGCACTACAAGACCATAACACGTACACAATGTACAGCACCAAGATAACTAGTAATTTATTATGGTATTAAAGCCCTTCTTTCTCTCACTTCGCGGCGGTTGAACATGTTCGGGTTGATCACCGTTGGCGCCGATCTCCTTATTCAGTCATACTGGGAGTGGGATACATGGCTGTCTTTCGTTTAATTTTTATTAATTCTTAATACTACTGTAATCTGGTTTTGCTCCAGGATTAGTCGTCGCCATGCGCTGGAATACACATTTCCTGTCGGCGATGCTCTCGCTGAGCACGCTGGCAAGAGCAGACCCAACATGGCCTTCTTCGATCGATGAGCTAGAAGAGATCATGTACCAAGTGAAAGGCTACCGCTCCCGTCAATTTGGCGGGACGGTTATACCCTGCTCAAGCGAAGCCTCGGGACCCGGTCGTCACAACGCCGCAGAGTGGTTGAGAGCCGCTTTTCACGATATGGCAACGACCACTATCGCCGGCGGCCCGCGACAAGGTGGATTGGACGGGTCATTGCAATACGAAATCACAAGTTCAGACAACATTGGCCCTGCGTTCAACACGACACTCACCTTCATGGCCGATTACTACACAAGTAGATCGAGTGTAGCCGATCTTCTAGCTCTAGGCGTGTACTATGCCGTGAGATCTTGTGGTGGCCCGGTGGTCCCTATTGCTGGTGGTAGGGTCGACGCCAAAGCAGCTGGCCCTATCGGTGTCCCTCTGCCCCAAAATACGGCTTTCACATTCGAGCAGCAGTTCTTGCGCATGGGTTTCAGCGTGATTGAGATGATTCAGGTCGTTGCATGTGGACATAGTATTGGCGGAGTTCACGAAACTGAATTCCCCCAAATCGTCCCAGTGGGCAGTACAGAAAACGGTGAGGCGCCGATGGACTCTACAGTGGACGTTTTCGACAACAAGATCGCCACCGAATATGTGTCGGGCAATACAACGAATCCCATGGTCGTGGGCTCTTCGGTCCGAGCTACAAGGAATTCTGACTTCAAAGTCTTCAACTATGATCAAAATGCGACAATAACTACTCTAACTAATCCCGAGACCTTCACCAACGTGTGCGCCACGGTATTGCGCAAAATGATCGAAGTCGTTCCGGATGGAGTCGTTCTTACCGACCCTATCCAGCCCTATGCAGTCAAGCCGGCCGACATGCAACTCACGCTGAATACTGGAGCTTCAACCATGCAACTAACTGGGTTCATTCGAGTTCGCAGCACTGACTTCGGAACCGACACCGCCGAGAGTGTCACGTTGACTTACAAGGACCGAGATGGCGGCGATGATTGTGGTAACCTAGGCTGCACGTCTACGGCCGACCTCCTAGGCGCTACAGAGGGTTTCGATGATACGTTTGTGGTGAGTTTACATGGCACTGTTTTGGAATTTATGCGTCTTGTTTTCTCTTTATTAACTCAAATATCAGTGGTTCCCCATTAGCGTGCAAATCCCGACCTCGTCAGGTATCTCCTCTTTCACCTTGACTCTCAACATGGCTAGTGGAACGTCCGAGGTCTATGACAATAATGGAGAGTCGTATCCTATACAGGATGCTATTCTTATGCAGAAACCTCAAAGCTGCCTTCTCCAAGGTGATTTGAAAGTTGTGGCGGCTGTGAGTTTAAATCTTTCCTGGCATAGTTGTAAAGTGCTGACGTGTTGAAACAGGTTCGCAACGATCTTGACTCACTACCTGTCAATCTACAACTGTCATACAAGACACCCGTTGGCAACCCAAATCGCCCGGTTCCCATCCTAAGTGATGCTACCGTGAATATGACCAA